TCCACTCTCAATTACTGGACAGCTTAGTGGCTAGGGCCAGACTTTGTTCATTTTTGTATCCCTAGTTCCTAGAAGTACCTGCCATGGAAATTGTCCAGGAAGGAAAGGAAAGGACAGGAAAGCAACCATGGCAGGCAAATGGGCCCTGGTCTGTGAGGGTGACTTTGTTTTTTGGTGGAACTGGGGATTGAACTCAGACCCTTGCGCTTGCCAGGGAAGTGCTTATTCCACTGAGCCACATCGCCAGCCCCATGACTTGGGATCTTTATGAGACAGAATGGTGAGCAGCTAGGGTGCCCCCATAGAGGTTCATTCCCTCAGTTACCTACTCTGTGTAGACATTAAGTGGGTACTGCAAGATGCCAGTGCCAGGAGGTCAGAACACAAAAGGCACTGCCAGTCCCTGCTCGGACAAACTCCCATGCAAGGTGGAGAGACAGATATATGGCAGGTGCTGGCCTGGCGTTTGATGGGCCATCTGCTCAGAGGACCTTTGCCACTCAGCTCTGCAGAGTGTGCATGTGGAGAAGAGGGAGAGAAGGTGGCAGGGATGGCAAGATTGGGGGCTTTTGAAAGGACTCTGCCTCTGGGACCAGTTCTGCTGCTCACTTGGTTTTCCTTAGGCCTTTCCCTTTTGTATGGATCCCTTGCTGTTAATAAGGAACATGTGACACATCTCTAATTGACCCGCAGCCTCTGCAGGACCCTTATTTCCAAGAGTGATAGCAGAGGCATTTTACCATCAGCAATAACTCACAGCTCCTGCAGTCATCCACCAGGATAGGAGCCTTTCTGTCTCTTGACCTCTGATGGGATCACAGAAGACTGCCACCCTCTCTTGGGGCAGCAGGGTTTGGCCCCAACCTCCACCCCCAGGAGTTCCCTTCTCTGTGTGCCTCAGTCCTGCACCTCAAGTGCTTTGAGAGAAGTGCATGCTTCATACCCTGCCTTTTTCCTTCCTTCCCTTCCTCCACTCCCTTTTATCAACAAATGTTTAGTGAGTATGTACCGTGTGGCATCACTATGAACACTGTCCTAAGCCCTGGGGAAGTGGTGGTGGACAAAATCTAGAAGAACCTCTGAGGGCTGGGCTATGGGGTATGGGGTAGAGCACTTGCCTAGCATGGGTGAAGCCCTGGGGTCTGTACCCAGCACAAAACAAAATCCAAAACTCTGGTATAGAAACTGGAGTAAGTTTCTCCAGCAAAGGAGCGAGAAGCCAGAACTAATTGTTGGGCAAGTAATCAGGAAGATTAGTAAGATTCTGGAGGGGCTGGGGAGATGGCTCAGTGGAATACATGCTTCCCTGGCAAGCACAAGGGCCTGAGTTCAATCCCCCGTTCTGCCAAAAAAAAAAAAGAAGAAGAAGATTCTGGAAGTTTGTAGAAGTCAGGTTTTCCCATTCACTTATACTAGTTTATAGAAGCTCAATTTATAGATGACTTTTCCCTAGAGACGGCTGGTATATTCATGCAGTCAGATGGCAGTAGGTAGCATACGGCACATCAGATGGCTGGTGACCTCTGCAGGTGTCCGTCTCATCTGTGCAGTGGGGACAACACAGCTTCTCCCAGTGTTGCTCAGATCTGAAACTATGCATCATCATGGTGACTGCATCCCAGTAACATGCATCCTGTCCATCCCAGTGTTCTTTCCTGCTTAGAGCAGCTGTGGGCAGTGCAGGAGGGAAGGTTCAAACCAGGTCCTCTTACCCACCTTCAGGGCCTCTCCTGTAGCTGCAGACACAGCAAGAGGCTTCTGCACTGGCCAGGGTCTCGGGGGTCTACTCCATGCCTCTCTTCTGCCCTGCCTCCAGCTTACTCCACACAAGCTCTGGAGGAGGTGGCCACCCAGCTGTGGCACAGCATAGATCCTTACTGATCTGGGGACACCCTGGGAGAGGTCTACCTGGGGTCTATGCTTGGCAGAAACCCCCTGTATATGCCCTGGACAGGTCCCTTGGGAGTCCCAGCACCACCAGCCTGCCTGCAAGTGGAGACCCCCAGGCCCTGGATTATACTGGCCTCACTTCATCCGCTCCTTGCCAGTGATGCTGCAACATCCCAGGTGAAGAGTTTGCACAAGGCACTCTTCTGCTGTGTAGGACAGTCAGCCTTCAACCACAGCTCAGCAGACAGGTCACCACTGACAGGGATCTCCCCCTTAGCCATTCTCCCCTGCCCTGCACAAAGCACAGAGGAGCCCAGTTCATCCTAAGTAGAGAAAGTTGAGGCCTGGAATCTAGCTCCAGGGCAGAGCACTTGCCTAGAGCCTAAGAGACCCCAGGTTTACATAGGTCTTTTACAGAAAAGACCTATGCTTGAAAGAATGTCAAACGGGGACATCCAACGAAGCAGAAGTCTGAAATGGCTCGGGGACAAGGACCCCTGAAGGACATCTCTCTGTATCTCCACCACTGAGCTGCTCCATTACTCCAAGCAAGCCGAACAAGCTCCTGGAGGCCTAGTGTCCTTGTCTGCAGGTGGGAACAATAATCCTTAGCTCAGCTCAGGGGTATGGAAGCTCTGGAGGCTGCATGTGGGACACTGGCACAGTGGCAGGCACCAGGTAGAGCCTGAGTAAACTGACTACACAATTACTCTTGTTTTCAAAGTTTGGTAAACACTGGGAATCAGCAAGGGGTGGCTTGATCCATACCCAAGGCTCAGAGAGGAAACTGCGCATGTGCTTTTCCTGGTCTCCAAAATCTACCTCAGGGAGGGGCGGCAGGCTCAGCTCTGTGCCCTCTTAGATCTGAATCTGGAAGGAAGCCATGGGCTATAGTGGAAGGAGCCACTCTCATTGCTGAGCCTTGCGACAATGCCTGAGGCTTGGGCGCAGGAACCAACCTCTATGTCAAATTTCTGTCAGTCACATGAGCACAGTAACTTCTGGCCCCCTACTCCTATCCCCAGGGAAGCTCCTGGGTGGGGGCCATCTTCTCTTGGGGTAAGAGCTGTCAGGCAATGACAGCTGGCCCTTTGTCCTGGGCAGTAAGTGGTGAGACTTGTACAAGCCCTGTATCTTCTAGCTCTTCCCTCTCTCTCCTCACTGTAGCCTCCAGAAATCTCTCCACTTGCTGTCAGCCTGGCATGGCCTGGCATCATCCCCTATACCTAGCGGTGAGCATGGACCCTCCTCCCAGGAACTGAGGGGTGTCTTTGGATTACCACATCCTTTTAACTGGCTCTCTCAAGATCAGAGGCAACCAAATACTTGTAGACCATACCAGAGTGGTGGAGGGGCAGTGATGGCATCAGAGCCCTGACCTCCTGAGAGCCTGTGAGGATAGGCACCCTGGGAGGGTAGTTCTCTTACATCTCAGTGGACTGGAGATGCCGAAGAGCCTGATTCCTGAGGAACAAGGTCATCCCTGGTTCCCTCAGAGGCGGTGGCACTGGATCAGCTTCATGATTCCTGCGGGAGCCAGGCTGGTTTGACAGTGGTTTTTCCCATATATGCCAACCAACCCTAGCCCCCAGATGGCCTAATTAAATGTGCCAGGCATGAAAGATGCAGGAGAGCAAGGCTGGCCTGCTGCTTCAGGGTATCTCTGCCACACACACTTGTGTCTCAGACTCCCCAGCACTCGCACCGTCACTTTCTGAGACCCTTTTTGGTACATCCTCTTCTTCGTATGGTCCAGTTCCTTAATGGAACTGTCTAGGGAATTAGTCTTCTTAGTCAAGATATTACAGTAGCAATGATAACCCTGGGTTTTGTGGAACAACAACAATAATAAAACCATTTGGGAGTTGTTTTCACCTTAGCAAAAATGTATGGCACATCTATTATGTACATGGCTTAGTCCCTGTTGCTGGAGGAACAGTAAAACAACCCTATCTCACTTCCATGCTGAGGATGGGCTTGGGTAGGCACATGGCCCTCAGACCCCTGTTTGCCTGATTCTCCCAGGGGGCGTTATTTGCAGGTATGACCCCACCTGGGTCTTCACTAGAGCCACAATTCCCAGCAGCATCAGCAGGGAGCAAATTCCCTGCCGGTTTGTCCTTGGCATCCAAAGACTTTCTGAGTTCAGCCTGCTCCAGCTTTGCCGCCTCAACGCCCACTGAACCATTCCCAGCACGCGGTGCTCTCAGGCCAACTGCTTCCACTTCTGGACCCTGGTGGAAGCAGCTCGTGGCGCCTCTTCCCTGCTCTCTCCAGTCTCTCAAGGATTTATTCAGCTTGGTCCACCTTCCCTGAGCGGTCCCCCCAAAGATCGCCTTGCACTCACGGACTTCTCCTTCTCGAATCTTCACTTCTGATGTGCTGGTGAGGATCCAGTCCACACTGCCCTCTGTCTGGAGAGCAGTTCACAGCCAATTCTCCAGAAGTCTGTGTCCTTTTCTCTGGTCGTTGCATTTTGCACTTTGTGTCTGAGGCTGGGAGACAGCTGTGCCCACCAACGAGCCTTGTTCGTCAGGCAGTCATCGTCTCACCTCTTTGGCCTCCCTTCTTTCTCAGGAAATGGTGACGACACCAGGGTTGACCCTGGGCAATGAGGCGGGAGGAGGGAAGCACCGTGAAAGCTAAGAGCTTGGGCCAGTGAGACACTGAGGGGCAGGATCCGGCTGTCCTGGAACCCGCTGCAGGCAGAGCCGTCTGTCTCCGCACTCCCCGAAAGTCAAGTGCACGGCCACCCTTCTCCCGGGCAGACCCTGCGCGGCTCGGAACCCCAGGCTGTTGCGGAGGATTCCAGGGCAAACTCAGATCCCCCCCCCCCCCCCCGGCCGCTTCTTCCCAAGGCCGCTCCGAACACACCTGGAAGCCCGCGGCAGAGCACGTTCAGAGAGCCGCCCGGAACCGCAGCTCGGTGGCGCGGGCAGAGGCCAAGGATCACACGTCTCCAGCCGGTGACTCCCGGACGCTCGCTCCGGCAGGGGTGGGCGTGGGCCGGCGGGCCGGCCTCGGGCCACGCCGGGCTCGCCAGAGGTCACTGAGCCGCAGGAGCCGAGGCGAGGCGGGTCCTGGCCCTGCGCCCTTCCGCCGCGTGCATCTGGTGTCCCCGGTTCCCGGGCGCCGGCGGAAGGCCGCGCTACTCTCCGGGCGGCGCGCTTCTCAGTGGTGCGCTGCGGTCCGGGCGGCCCAGCGCGGGGCCGGCTCTGCGCGCGGATGAATGGGCGCAGCCGCCGCGGCGCTCAGGGGCTGAAGGGCATTAGGACCGTGCGGAGCTCTGCGCTCCTGTCGCTCTCTCTCTCACCCCCTCCTTTTTCTGCTCTGCAGGACTGAGCAGCCCGGCGCGAGCAAAAACAAACAGCTGGGGTGAAGAGCGCCCCCGGCCCGGCTCGGCCCGGAGAACACGCCGGCCCCCGCCGGGCGCCAGTCCGCGCGCCATGAGGAAGATCCGCGCCAACGCCATCGCCATCCTGACCGTAGCCTGGATCCTAGGCACTTTCTACTACTTATGGCAGGACAACCGAGCCCACGCAGCATCCTCCGGGGGCCGGGGCGCGAAGAGAGCCGGAGGGCGGCCGGAGCAGCTCCGCGAGGACCGCACCATCCCGCTCATTGTGAGTCCTCCTCGCGCGCGGCGGCTGGGGAGCCCAAGGCGCGGGGCCCGGGCCGGGGCTGCCAGCCCGCCGCGCTGGGGCCGGCTTTGTAGACGCCCGAGCATTCCTGTTCGTTGTTATGGCAACCTCCGCCGGCCCGGCGCGGGGGCCTAGGTGCGCGCTGGAGGGAGGATGACAGCGGGTGGGGGCTGGGAGAAAGTGCTGCAAGTTTGGTGGGCCGCGTGCGCGCGCGTCTGGGACCGCCGCAGCTTCCCCGGCCGTGCTGGGGCCGGGGCCCGGGCCGGAGCCCAGGCGGGGGCTGGGGCTGCGGGCGCTCGGCCCAGCTCGGCCCGGCCCGGCCCGGCCCGGCGTAGCGGGAGGCGGTGGGAGCAGCCACAGAGCGCGTAGGTGGCTGTGCGCAGCGGGTCTCCAGCCTCCCGAGGGTAAAGGACGTTGGGTCCGGGCGTGGGAGGAAAGAGTCGCTGAGCACAGCTCCCGGGTTTAAAGACCTCTTCTCAGCCCCGGTCAACTTGGACCTGTTCCTCCTGCCGTACATCCTAGGGCTCTCAGGCCTGGGGAAAAGTCTTGTCCTGTGTGCACCCCTCACCCCCAGCGTTCGGGTCCAGCACGGCCCGTGAGCAGGCAGAGTCCGTGCTGCGCTATGTGATTCCCTGGTGTGAAACCCACTCCACATTTGTCCAGGCGAGCCGGGGACAAAGGCATTGTGGCCTGTCGGGGGCCCTGGGCTGAGCTTGGGGCTCTCGGTGCTCTGGGGACTCGGGAGAGGGCTGCTGAGACCCAACCTCCCTGCAGGGGGCGTTCCTGCCGCCGCCTTGCCTGGGCTCCTAGTGACAGCTCCGTGAGCCAAACCAGGCACCTGTTGAGGCAGCGCGCGTTCCTCCGTCGGGGCAGGCGTGAGCGACACTGGGGATGGCCCTCGGAACAGACTACTGGACCAGTGCAGCCTGGCTGGAAGAGCCAGGAGAGGGACGGAGAGGCAGTGGGGGAGGGTGCATTTTTGACGTGGAAAGATCTGGGCCTTGGGGGGAGGGAGGAACTCTACAGGGACACGAGAGCTGAAGCTTGCATGGGATATAGAATGGCGACTCTGCTTCCAAGGCTGCTTTGAATCCCAGGAACAAGTGGAGGGCTGGTGCGGACTAGTTTTCATATTCCATTATTTCTGACCTGGGGCACCTGGAGACCTGGGGGTATAGCGCAGAGCCAGTTGGTAGCCTGAGCAGGTGGAGCTTCCTTCTGGGCTGTGGCCCTGATTCTAGGACACTGTTCCCAAAGCACTCGTCAGTGTTTGGACAGGAAGAGAAAGGAAAAACTGAGTCCCAGAGTCCTGAGATCCTGGGGAAAGTGCAGATTGGATAGGCCCCTCCTGTGGCGCCCTCTCCTCCCTGCTCTCAGAAGGTGACCCTGGGCCTGGCAGGGTAGGTGGAGGCTGGCTGGCAGAGGCTCTGTGTGGCTCTGTGGCTAAGTGATAGGAGGTGGCCCTGAGCAGGAAGGGTAGAGGCTGAGGGAAGGTGAGGAGGAGAAGAGAAAGGGACGCTGTTGTCCCCTGACTTTGCTGGGGCCTCTCCATCCTGCTTCTTGCAGATGAGCCACTCAGGGTGTGTGTGTGTGTGTGTGTGTGTGTGTGTGTGTGTTGGTGCCCCTCTGTGGTGAGCACTGCTGGGGTGATGCAGCCCTCATTCAGAGGGATGGGAATTGGAGATTGTGGCAGGATGTGCCAGAGAACATCCTCTTGCCCCTGCAGATGAGCAAGGGGCTAAAAGTCAAATGTGAAGGAGAATCTGGGAGTGCCTGAGAGCTGGGAAGTGAAGGTGTGGGAGGAAAGGAAGGTGGAAGACGGGAGTCCCCAGGGGTGGAGTGGCAAGGGCCAACTGGAGCCTCCGAAGCACACAGCCAGCTTCTACTTCACGCTTTTGCCGAGGCTGTCTGCCTTGGTGTTGGTCCTGATCCCATACTACCCCTGACACTGCCTCGCATTCTATTCGCATCTCTGTTTGATTTGCTTCCCTCTAATTCTCAACTATGTATACAGGGACTATGTGGGAAGCTCTTTGCTTTCCCACCTTGCTGTACATAGCAGGACTTAATAAGTGCTTCTTTCTTTTTTTTTTATTTTATGTATTTAGTGCAGGGTCTACAGGGTCTCACTACACAGATGGCGCTCACAGTGATTCTCCTGTTTTCAGCCTCCCGTGCGCTGGGATTACAGGCCTGTGCCTCAATGCCCTGTCTCAGTGCGCCTGGGGGGCGGGGCCGGCCCAGGCACTGGGGATCAAACCCTGACCCCTGCATCTGTCTAAGAAGGTGCTTTAGTCAGCTAAGCTATCTGGCCAGCCCAGTAAGTGCTTCTTTTATAAAAGAGTGCAGGAGGATTCTTGCCAATTTCTGAGTGTAGTCAATGGGCTGTGCTTCAGATCCCCTTGGCCATTATTTGTAGCTCTGCCTAAGTAGGGAGGTAAAGAATGTGGGTGAGTTGCGGCCAGGAGTCCCACCCTGTGTTCAGCCTGAGAGGGACAGGTGCAGCTGAGCATTTGTGGCCTTCTCTCTGACAGTGGTGGGCACCCCGCGCAACCCTTCCCTTCCCAAAGCCTTTCTCTGGTTGGTTGGACCCAGACGCTCTGTGTGGATTTTCAGATGCTTGGGGAATGCGGTGGCCAGCCCTACTGTCAGAGGCTGAGCGAATTCAGACAAACGTCATCATCACTCACTCCCCTGGGAAATCAGAGAGCTGAACTGGGGAGGGGAGCGACTGCCTGCCTGCCTGCGAGCCGGGCCTGGAGGCTCTGCCATCGCCTGTTGGGTTAATATTCAAAGCCAGCCACGTGGCTTCTGGACCTTGAGACACTTGTTTAGGACTGTGGGGTGTCGGCATGGCAACCAAATGGCCCAATTTCTCAGGGAGGTCCTGAGTTTTACTATCTGTGCTGCTGACAGCCCATGTATCACAAATTTTGATGTGAAAAATTTGGTTAAAGAATCTGTGAAACTAAAGGGAGAGGCTGATTCCACCCCTACTGGCCGCTTACCACGTAGTGAGGCTTAGGGCTTTTCCATGCTGTTTCTTGTGGGCTGGCCAGTGCATCTGGGGTCAGCCCCTTGGAGCTGCACTGATGTCCACTGGCACAGGACAGCCACCTGTGCAGGAGGTAGAGCAGGTGTGGCTGGTGGCCGCGCCTCCTGCAGGGGAGGACATTTGAGTCTGTTTTGATCTGGGACTTAGGTGTTCCATATGCCAGTTCTTTAACAGGCATGGGTGGGAAGCCAAGGTGTTACAAGGAATTCCACTTTGCGTTATTAAAAAAGAATCTCCTTTCTGGGTATTGTCAGCATAGATTTACTAATTTGCAAAAACGGTTTTCTATTTAAAACCATGAAGGATTTAGGCAGGAGTTTCCTCAACTGGAATTTCTTTTCCTGAAAGTGAGGTACTGCTAAATGACCATGGATGAACTATCTACCATCTCTGGACCTTGGTTGATCTCTGTTACATTTCAGTTGAGTGATTGACAAAGATAACTGATGCTTTGTCCATCCAATGATAGTTTCCTCTGTAGAATGTGTAAATGACTCTCCCAAATGGTGGTCTGAGGTTTCTCAATTGAGGGACAAGTACCTGCCAGAAGGTCTTGAGGTGACCCTTGTGGCCTTCCCTGGGTCCGTATTTACCTTACGGGGACACTGAGGATGGCTTTTTGGCCCTGTTTTCCGAGAGCAGAAGAAGAGCGTAAGATGCAATAAGTTCTGGGTGAGTTCATATTTTATTTATAACGTGCACATTTTGGAGCCGTAGGAATATGATTTGCCTAAATCACAGACAATGATTTTGTATTTAATTTGTCTAGGTGGCGTGCACATGAGAAAGGGTGGTGAAGGAGAAGCACAAACACCCACAATTTCCTTTGTCAGAATGTTCAGACTTAAAGGGCCCAATTTTCTGCAGTGGGGTGATTCTGGGACTATTTTGAGACCTGCTTCTAGGATGTAAGGACAGCCTACAGGAGTGAGGTTGGTGGGGACCCAAACAGCCTGGTTTATCTGTGCTGGGAGGCCCGAGGCCCAGGGGCATAGAGCTACTTTGAAGGTGCTGCTCCTTCCCCTGCTGGGCCCTCTACTTCTGCCCCAACAGTCCTTCCCCCTGCCTCCTGAGGGCAGGTGGGGAAGCCTGGCTCCCTGGTGAGGTGACTTGTCTGTCAGCTTGGCAAGCAGAGGAAGCCCTCCGGTCTACAAATGCCATTTCAGGCAGGAGTGCAGGAGCAGCTCAGGCAAGGCCAGGCTGCGTTGCTCAGGGGACTGTGTTGCTATAATGGAGAAAATCACCCTGAGGTCAGAGGGGAGCCCAAGCCCGAGCAGTTCATTACAGTTACAAGATTGGAGATGTATACCGTTCCTGCTCTTAGAGAAGACCAGAGGCTCCTTCTCCATGAACAGCAGGGCAAAGGCACACGGAGGTTAAATAGACACAATGCCCAAGTCCTGGGAGGAAGCAGGGAGCCGAGCCTGCAAGCTGTGATTATACTCTGGCGCTTCATCAGACAAGCGCGGTCTATGCAGGGCCTCCTTTGCAAAGGGGCTCCAGGGGCCTTGTCACTTCCTCTGAATGCCTGTGGTCTTCGATCACCATTTCTGTCCAGCCTTTGTTATAACCGTCTACTCTGTACTGTGTTTGTGGTGGCTTCACTTGTTGATGCTGTGTAAGCATTTCACAAGTTTTGCCTCTGAATCCCTTCAGTGACCTAATGAGAGCACTGCACTGTTGGGTAAACTGAGGCTACCGATGGCCTGACAACAAGGGGGAGTGTCTGAGTCTAGGTGCCCCTCACCCTGAAACCTAGCTCTTACCTTCCCCTCCTGGGACATCTTCAGGGCAAGATCGCAATCTGCAAGACCGTTGGTCTCTCATCTCCCCCAGGCCGCCTCTGGGATTCAACCAACCAGGGATTAGAAATGATGGGAAGAAACTTGCATCTATCGCGAATGTTTGCAGACTTTCTTATTCCTAT